ATCTCGATCTATGCCAACCCAACAAACACCTTCGGAGACACATGTAGAGCATCTTTATAATCACCCAGTTACGTTGTGATGTTTGATAGAACACAAGGTGTTCCTCCGGTATTCGGGAGTTGCATAACTTCATAGTCAAAGGAATATGTATAAGTCATGAAGAAAGCAATAGCAATAAAACTTAACGATCATTATGCTAAGCTAACGGGTGGGCCTTGTCCATCACATCATTCTCCTAATGATGTGATCGCGTTCATCAAATGACAATACATGTCTATGGTCAGGAAACTTAACCATCTTTGATTAACGAGCTAGTCACGTAGAGGCATACTAGGGACACTCTGTTTTGTCTATGTATTCACACATGTATCAAGTTTCCGGTTAATACAATTCTAGCATGAATAATAAACATTTATCATGATATAAGGAAATATAAATAACAACTTATTATTGCCTCTAGGGCATATTTCCTTCACTAAGAATTGGGCGTTGTACATTGCATGTGTGGCGCCTAAGCGCTAGGCGCTGCACATTACAAGTGTGGCGCCTACGCCTTAGGCGCTGCACAGCTGGATGTGGGGCCGCGGCTAGCCCTAGGCTGCCACGCTGGTCAGGCATGCGATGCCTAAGACAAAGGCGATGCATACTGGAGTGCAGCGCCCGGCTGTCAGGCGCCACACAAAACAATCAGTTTGTGAAAAAAATTCAAGAGTAGTTCAGATCGTGAACTCATTTAGCCTACAAGTCAAATATGTGATTTTTGTCCCCGTGTTGTTCTTGCTGCCGCTTCCGCGTGTTGCGGCTGCAACATATGAGGGCATCATGCCCAACTTTCATGATGCACGCAACATTATCTCACGTGCTTGGTCTCGTGACCAGCGTCCTCACTGCCATCCTGCTCGGAGCGACGGAGCGGGACGGAAGGAGTAAGAAATCTACGAAGGCAACTGCATAAGTGCCTACCCAATAAAAGAATGGGTTTGTCTAGGTCTCGGTCGACTTAGACTTCGCGAAGTCTCAGTCGCTGATGTCATCACTTTATCTGTGTTAGTAAAACATGGTTCCGATCGGTCTTTCTTTGCCTGTTTGTGTGGGCTTCGGTGTTTTATGTTTTTTTTTCTTTTGTTGGTGCTGGGCTCGTTGCCTTTGGCTGGGTTTGCACACACTATTTGTTGGGTTGTCATCAGCTGTCGGCTATTGATTTGAAACGATGGTGTAGATCTGTTGTCAATCATTGATCATTCAACTTTTTACAGCAACCGATGGCCATTGCATGTTTTCTTGCTCATTGCCTATTGATTTGAAAAAAGTTCGAGAAAGAAAAAGAAATGACAAAATAAAGATTGTTTAATTTTTTTAACACAATACAATCATAGATGTCCACATACATGTACATACACTTACCTCTTATATATACATGTACACACATCCTATCATTATAAGCACCTTTGAGATATTGAGCCGGCATCACATGTTAAAATTGACGAAGTCATCATAGACATCTTCTAGTCAACGAAAAACATTTTTCTCTCACTAAACAAATCATCAGTGGAAAGCCTAAATAAAATTCAGAAAAATACAAGAACTAGTGGCATGCCTAGAACTTGAAGGCTAATATACTAGTTTAATTACAAGGAACCTAACCATTTGATGCCTGGTCCACAAAAAATAGCCTAACTATGAGACATTCTTATCACACATGAGAAAATATGTTAGAAAATATACTTGTACTTGGTCTCATCACTACACACAAGCCATCCTAGCAGTTGTCGCATTATACCTAGTTGTAGATGTGCAATTGCTCCCCACCACAAACACACATAAGCACCATCAAGTTGCAGCGGGGTGACACTTACAGTTGCATGCCCAGTAGCAGATATGCAACCATCTCCTCCGAAGAAAGCACCATAGAGTTGTAGTCAGAGACGACACTTGCAGTTGCATGCCTAGTGGAAGTGCAATGGAGGGCGAGACATGCAGTTGCGTGCCTAGTGGAAAACAGGCAACTGCTAACTTCCTGACCAACAAACACTATGCGACACCTAGATTTACAGTCTGGGGTGACACTTAGAGTTGCATGCCTGGTGGCACACATGCAATTGCCCCTCCCACCGATAAAAACCATAAAGTTGCAGTCATGGTGAAGACATGAAATTGCAGTCTGGGACGGCACTTGTAGTTGCATGCCTAGTGATAGACAAGCAATTGCCAACTTCCCTCGACAAAACAACACATAGTTACAGTCACGTTGAAAACATGCAATTGCACTATGTTGCGTGCCTAGTGACCAACATGCAATTACTCACCTCTCCCTCTCCCACACCGGCAAAACATAACAAAGTTGCAGTCGAGGGTGACACTTTCAGTTGCATGCCAAGCGGAACACATGCAATTGCGCCCCTCCCCTGACAAAACAAGTTCAGTTGCGAGTCACCTTGAAGACATGCACTTGCAGTCGGGGGTACACTTGTAGTTGCATGCCTAGTGTGTACATGCAACTTGCCCCCCTTTCCCCCCACCCCCTTCGATAAAACAATTTTCACTTGCGACCTTGTTGGAAGACATGCAGTTGCAGTCAGGGTCGATGCTTGTAGTTGCATCCCTACTGTTAC